TTAACATTTTTAAAGGTTTAAAATGATTTCTCTGTTATAGCTTAAAGTTACTTAAAATCCCAAATTTAAACTTTCAGTTAAATGTTTATCCTTTTAGGCCTTTCGAAGGTATTTACCAGTCACCCCTTTATTAAGAATTTAAATAAATGTTGTCATTATTTTGGTATTTCGTGTTTCTGGTTATAATGAACTGTAGCGAAATGGTGGTCATATCAGGTATTTCTGCACATGAGAGAGTTGGTACAGGTAGACTAGACTATAGTCTATATATAAATTCTTGTTATTCTTATTAGGAACATAGGGCCTCAACTTTAACTATAGTCTATAGTCTAGTCTACACTCTAGTCTATCGTCTAGTCTAGTCTATAGTCTAGTCTATAGTCTAGTCTATAGTCTAGTCTATAGTCTAGTCTATAGTCTAGTCTATAGTCTAGTCTATAGTCTAGTCTATAGTCTAGTCTATAGTCTAGTCTATAGTCTAGTCTATAGTCTAGTCTATAGTCTAGTCTATAGTCTAGTCTATAGTCTAGTCTATAGTCTAGTCTATAGTCTAGTCTATAGTCTAGTCTATAGTCTAGTCTATAGTCTAGTCTATAGTCTAGTCTAGTCTAGTCTATAGTCTAGTCTATAGTCTAGTCTATAGTCTAGTCTATAGTCTAGTCTATAGTCTAGTCTATAGTCTAGTCTATAGTCTAGTCTATAGTCTAGTCTATAGTCTAGTCTATAGTCTAGTCTATAGTCTAGTCTATAGTCTAGTCTATAGTCTAGTCTATAGTCTAGTCTATAGTCTAGTCTATAGTCTAGTCTATAGTCTAGTCTATAGTCTAGTCTATAGTCTAGTCTATAGTCTAGTCTATAGTCTAGTCTATAGTCTAGTCTATAGTCTAGTCTAGTCTAGTCTATAGTCTAGTCTATAGTCTAGTCTATAGTCTAGTCTATAGTCTAGTCTATAGTCTAGTCTATAGTCTAGTCTATAGTCTAGTCTATAGTCTAGTCTATAGTCTAGTCTATAGTCTAGTCTATAGTCTAGTCTATAGTCTAGTCTATAGTCTAGTCTATAGTCTAGTCTATAGTCTAGTATAGTCTAGTCTATAGTCTAGTCTATAGTCTAGTCTATAGTCTAGTCTATAGTCTAGTCTATAGTCTAGTCATAGTCTAGTCTATAGTCTAGTCTATAGTCTAGTCTATAGTCTAGTCTATAGTCTAGTCTATAGTCTAGTCTATAGTCTAGTCTATAGTCTAGTCTATAGTCTAGTTAGTCTAATCTATAGTCTAGTCTATAGTCTAGTCTATAGTCTAGTCTATAGTCTATCTATAGTCTAGTCTATAGTCTAGTCTATAGTCTAGTCTATAGTCTAGTCTATAGTCTAGTCTATAGTCTAGTCTATAGTCTAGTCTATAGTCTAGTCTATAGTCTAGTCTATAGTCTAGTCTATAGTCTAGTCTATAGTCTAGTCTATAGTCTAGTCTATAGTCTAGTCTATAGTCTAGTCTATAGTCTAGTCTATAGTCTAGTCTATAGTCTAGTCTATAGTCTAGTCTAAGTCTAGTCTATAGTCTAGTCTATAGTCTAGTCTATAGTCTAGTCTATAGTCTAGTCTATAGTCTAGTCTATAGTCTAGTCTATAGTCTAGTCTATAGTCTAGTCTATAGTCTAGTCTATAGTCTAGTCTATAGTCTAGTCTATAGTCTAGTCTATAGTCTAGTCTATAGTCTAGTCTATAGTCTAGTCTATAGTCTCTATAGTCTAGTCTATAGTCTAGTCTATAGTCTAGTCTATAGTCTAGTCTATAGTCTAGTATATAGTAGTCTATAGTCTAGTCTATAGTCTAGTCTATAGTCTAGTCTATAGTCTAGTCTATAGTCTAGTCTATAGTCTAGTCTATAGTCTAGTCTATAGTCTAGTCTATAGTCTAGTCTATAGTCTAGTCTATATTCTAGTCTATAGTCTAGTCTATAGTCTAGTCTATAGTCTAGTCTATAGTCTAGTCTATAGTCTAGTCTATAGTCTAGTCTATAGTCTAGTCTATAGTCTAGTCTATAGTCTAGTCTATAGTCTAGTCTATAGTCTAGTCTATAGTCTAGTCTATAGTCTAGTCTATAGTCTAGTCTATAGTCTAGTCTATAGTCTAGTCTATAGTCTAGTCTATAGTCTAGTCTATAGACTAGACTATAGACTATAGACTAGAGTATATACTAGTCTATAGTCTAGTCTATAGTCTAGTCTATAGTCTAGTCTATAGTCTAGTCTATAGTCTAGTCTATAGTCTAGTCTATAGTCTAGTCTATAGTCTAGTCTATAGTCTAGTCTATAGTCTAGTCTATAGTCTAGTCTATAGTCTAGTCTATAGTCTAATCTATAGTCTAGTCTATAGTCTAGTCTATAGTCTAGTCTATAGTCTAGTCTATAGTCTAGTCTATAGTCTAGTCTATAGTCTAGTCTATAGTCTAGTCTATCTAGTCTATAGTCTAGTCTATAGTCTAGTCTATAGTCTAGTCTATAGTCTAGTCTATAGTCTAGTCTATAGTCTAGTCTATAGTCTAGTCTATAGTCTAGTCTATAGTCTAGTCTATAGTCTAGTCTATAGTCTAGTCTATAGTCTAGTCTATAGTCTAGTCTATAGTCTAGTCTATAGTCTAGTCTATAGTCTAGTCTATAGTCTAGTCTATAGTCTAGTCTATAGTCTAGTCTATAGTCTAGTCTATAGTCTAGTCTATAGTCTAGTCTATAGTCTAGTCTATAGTCTAGTCTATAGTCTAGTCTATAGTCTAGTCTATAGTCTAGTCTATAGTCTAGTCTATAGTCTAGTCTATAGTCTAGTCTATAGTCTAGTCTATAGTCTAGTATAGTCTAGTCTATAGTCTAGTCTATAGTCTAGTCTATAGTCTAGTCTATAGTCTAGTCTATAGTCTAGTCTATAGTCTAGTCTATAGTCTAGTCTATAGTCTAGTATAGTCTAGTCTATAGTCTAGTCTATAGTCTAGTCTATAGTCTAGTCTATAGTCTAGTCTATAGTCTAGTCTATCTAGTCTATAGTCTAGTCTATAGTCTAGTCTATAGTCTAGTCTATAGTCTAGTCTATAGTCTAGTCTATAGTCTAGTCTATAGTCTAGTCTATAGTCTAGTCTATAGTCTAGTCTATAGTCTAGTCTATAGTCTAGTCTATAGTCTAGTCTATAGTCTAGTCTATAGTCTAGTCTATAGTCTAGTCTATAGGTCTAGTCTATAGTTCTAGTCTATAGTCTAGTCTATAGTCTAGTCTATAGTCTAGTCTATAGTCTAGTCTATAGTCTAGTCTATAGTCTAGTCTATAGTTAGTCTATAGTCTAGTCTATAGTCTAGTCTATAGTCTAGTCTATAGTCTAGTCTATAGTCTAGTCTATAGTCTAGTCTATAGTCTAGTCTATAGTCTAGTTCTATAGGTCTTAGTCTATAGTCTAGTCTATAGTCTAGTCTCTAGTTAGTCTATAGTCTAGTCTATAGTATAGTCTATAGTCTAGTCTATAGTCTAGTCTATAGTCTAGTCTATAGTCTAGTCTATAGTCTAGTCTATAGTCTAGTCTATAGTCTAGTCTATAGTCTAGTCTATAGTCTAGTCTATAGTCTAGTTATAGTCTAGTCTATAGTCTATAGTAGTCTAGTCTATCGTCTAGTCTATAGTCTAGTCTATAGTCTAGTCTATAGTCTAAGTCTATAGTCTAGTCTATAGTCTAGTCTATAGTCTAGTCTATAGTCTAGTCATAGTCTAGTCTATAGTCTAGTCTATAGTCTAGTCTATAGTCTAGTCTATAGTCTATAGTCTATATCGTCCTAGTCTATAGTCTAGTCTATGTCAGTCTATAGTATCTATAGTGGTCTAGATCTAGTCTATAGTCTAGTCTATAGTCCTAGTCTAAAGTACTAGTCTATAGTCTAGTCTATAGTCGCTAGGAGTCTATAGTCTAGTCTATAGTCTAGTCTATAGTCTAGTCTATAGTCTAGCCTATAGTCTAGGTCATAGTCTAGTCTATAGTCTAGTCTATAGTCTAGTCTAGTAGTCTATAGTCTAGTATCTAGTCTAGTAGTCTAGTCTATAGTCTAGTCTATAGTCTAGTCTATAGTCCTAGTCTATAGTCGAGTCTAGTCTATAGTCTCAGTCTATAGTCTTACCTGTGTTCTAGTTTACCTTCAAATCTGTTGCAAATTCTCTAACGAATCAATGTATTCCTCTCATAATAGTGTGGTCAGTGTTAAATTATTTTGAATATTTCGGTAAGTTATCCCATGTTTGCTGGTGGTATCATATGTCTTTGTTCATTTTGTTTGGACTTTTTTCTTTTAATATAGTTAAAACTCATTACATCAAGATTACCTAGGATTGTAGTACCAAAAAACAAGAGCTAATTTAATTATAATTAACATTTTTTGCACAGACATGCCTATACACAAACCGACCTAAAATTGCTATTTTAAATAAAATTTAAAAGGAAAAAAATACTAGGAATATTTCATTATTTATTTAAATTACAAATTTCGAGTATGATAAAATAACAAACAGACACAATTATCAAATGGTTATTTCGGAACAAGAAGATTTCACCCCAGGGATATTTAAAACATAATATGAATGGGATTATGGAAGTAGAAGTAGAAGAGGATGAGAAATGAATGGCGATTTAAAACGGTCTTTATATTATTTGCATTTGTAAAACGGTCTTCTGTTTTGACTAAGATGTTATCAGGTGTCACATTTTTCCAAATACTGTGCAGTAAAAGTAGACGTATACGTTATAATTAATTAACAAATCAATTGGTGTTGCGTATACGTTTTAGGTTTATACTAAGATGAATATTTTTAAAACTTCTTTTAAATACGTTTTAAATTTGTCACTTTCTATCTATGTCACTTTTACTGTGGTGTCAAAGAGAAACAAAGTAGAAAAGACCCTTAACTATAAATAAGTATTATCAGCAATTGTAGCAAATTTTATTTTACTTTTTATCTTTTATTACAGTGTCAATGGATCAACAGCAGTCACAGCAGCAACCCATCGAATTTACTTCACACAAAATGAAGAATCCCTACTCCACAACGAACAGTAAGGGCGGTGCGTCCAGCAACAGCCATAAGGATAACAACGAGCACAATAACAATATCATCGACATAAATTACAATTCATTGAATAGCCACCACAATAGACTGCATACACTAAAAGATGCAACAAAGCTACAGCATGCAGACATGTCGGGCGAAGAGGGGTCGTCAAATGAAAAACCATTTCCAAAAGTTCCTCAACCATATTTTGATTTGTCCATGCCGCGTAATATTACAGCACGCGCTGGACAAATAGCAGCCATAAATTGTCGTGTGGAAAACTTGGGTGATAAATCAGTAAGTCAATGTCATTTCTAAAGCTGTAGCAATTGAGACAGCGATGTTTTTTTACTTTTTTTTAAGAAAAAATACAACATCAAACAATTTTACTTTTTTGTAGATTTTTTAATTAAAGCATTATTAAAAAGTACCAAGGCGTAGATAAATCTTACTTTTAACCTTTTAGCAGTCTTTGATTTCTTTTTTTAATCTTTCTATTATGGTCTTTTTGTTCTTTTTTGTTTTCTTTAACATCTCATTTTTCAACAACAACAACAACAATACGATTTATGTGTGCACAGGTATCCTGGATACGCAAAAGAGATTTACACATTTTGACAGCCGGTATATTGACATACACTTCTGATGAAAGATTTAAGGTATTTATGATAACTGCAAACAAAAAACGGAAAGTTTTTTTGTGCTTTTAATTTTAAAAACTCTTGGAAATATTATTAGGGTGACTAAGTAACTACTTAAGAATATAATAAGAATGGACTAAATAATGATCTATAGTCTGGACTATAGAATGGTCTATTGTTTGCACTATGTAATGGTCTACAATTTGGACTGTGGAGTTGTCTATAGAATAGTCTGTATTCTAGACTATATACCAGGTTATAGTCTAGAGTATAGAATTGTCTATAGTCTAGACTATAAAATTGTCTATAGTCTATACTATAGAATTGCCTATGGTCTATACTATAGAATGATCTATAGCCTAGACTATAAAACTGCCTATATTCTAGACTGTAGAATTGTCTATAATCTAGACAATAGAATTGTCTATAGTCTCGACTATAGAATTGTAGATAGTCTTGACTATGTAATGGTCTATAGTCTGGACTATAGTGACGACAATAGAATGATCTATAGTCTGGACTATAGAAAGATTTATTGGGTGGACTATAGAATGATCTATAGTTTGGAATATAGAATGATCTATAGTCTGAACTATAGAATGATCTATAGTCTGGACTATAGAATGATCTAAAGTCCGTACTATAGAATGGTCATTAGTCTAGACTATAGAATGACATATAGCCTTTACAATAAAATGATCTATAGGATTGACAATGGAATTGCCTGGACTATAGAATGATCTATAGTAGGGACTACAGAATGGTCTTTAGTCTGGAATAGTCTGAACTATAGAATGGTCTATAGTCTGGACTATAGAATGGTCTATAGTCTGGACTATAGAATGGTCTATAGTCTGGACTATAGAATGGTCTCTTTTCTGGACTATATAATGGTCTACAATCTGGACTGTGGAGTTGTCTATAGTCTATGCTATAGAATTGTCTATAGTCTAGACTATAGAATTGTATATAGTCTAGATTATAGAATAGTCAATAATCTAGACTATAGAATAGTCTATATCAAGACTACAGAATTGTCTATAGTCTAGACTATAGAATTGTCTATAGTCTGGACTATAGAATTGCCTATAGTCTAGACTAGAACTGTCTATAGTCTAGACTATAGAATTGACGATAGTCTAGACTATGGAATTGTAGATGGTCTTGACTGTAGAATGGTCTATAGTCTGGACTATAGTGAGGACAATAGAATGATCTATGTCGTGGTTATAGTCTATAGTATGGAATATAGAATGATCTATGGTCTAGACAATAGAATTGTTTAGACTATAGAATTGTCAATAGTCTTGACTATAGAATGATCTATATTCTGGACTATACTGAGGACAGTAGAATGATCTATAGTCTGGACTATAGAATGATCTATAGTCTGGACTATAGAATGATCTATAGTCTGGACTATAGAATGATCTATAGTTTGGACTATAGAATGATCTATAGTCTGGACTATAGAATGATCTATAGTAGGGACTATAGAATGGTCTTTTATCTAAACTATAGAATGACATATAGTCTTTACAATACAATGATCTATAAGATTGACAGTGGAAAGAACTACAGTCTTCACTATAAAATGATCTATAGTCTAGACTACAATGTCTACTGCCAGTATTATAGCCTGGACTATGGAATATACAATAGTCTAGACTAGTATTGTATTGTATATTGGCCATTAGTATGGAAAATTGCATGGTCTATAGTGTAGTCTGAACTATAGTTTGTGTGTTAATATTTTTTAAAATAAAACATTTATTTAAATCACTCCAAAATCCATCAATACCATCCTAATACACCTGCTGTATCATTATTTTAAGGTCACACGCACTTTGGATAGGAAACAATGGTCATTGCATATAAAATATGCACAGCCACGTGATAGTGGCATTTATGAGTGTCAAGTTAATACGGAACCCAAGATGTCAATGGCTTTCCGTTTAAATGTTATTGGTAAGTTGCAATTGTATTTTCAATTTTTGTTTTAACTCGTATTTTTTAAAATTCAAAATCCTGTTCGTTGTTTTTTCTGGCGATTTTGTTGACAACGATAAAAAGTAATAACGTTTTCAGGGATTGTATTAATTGTTTTTTTTTTATATTTTATCTATCTGTTTTTCTCTTTGCTATGCTGCTGCTGCTTTTCCTGTATTTATTACACTGTTAAAGTGACACCACCAGATGCCAAAGCATCAATTTCCGGTCCAGCGGATTTGTATGTGAAAATCGGCAGTGCCATAACGTTAACATGCCATATAAAGCAACCTTCCTCAGCTCATGATATTGGACCAATACATTGGTATCGTGGACCATACATACTGACACCGTTTGTGGTACATCCCAATGAGGCAGCCATCGATATGCAACGTATTTCAATGGAATCGAAATTGGGAGATAAATTGCAAAGCAGGTTGGTTTTGGGAAAAATAAAGACATGACATTCACATTAACTGTGTTCTATGAAAACAAGGACATGTGTTTATAGTCGCATGTATTTTTGTGCGTTTGTTTGTTCATAAACCAGGATTAACAGTAGGATGTTGAAGTTTAATGTCGGAAGTTGCAGTTTTTTTGTGTTTTTTGAAAGGAAATTTTGTTTTTTTTTTATGGTAGTGAGTGAAAATTAATGCGTTTCTGATTAAAGCAGTTTATTTTTGTTATTCTTTAATGTTAAATTAAATGGTTTAATAAAGTTTTTTTTAATTATAAAGAAAACAGTTTTTCATAAAAAGCTTAAATCACTAACAAAGGTTTTTTTAAATGTTTTTTTGAACAAAACGGTTTTTACAAAAAACTGTTTCTAGCAAATAGCTTTTTTCAATAAAAAGTTCTTTTAATAAAAAGCTTTTCAAATAAAAGTTTTTTTATAACAAACTTTTTTAATTTTTAAACAAATATTTTTTTTACTTTTTCTACAAAAGCTTTTTTCAAAAAAACTTTTTCAGCTAAAAGCTGTTTTCTCAAAAAGCTTTTGTAATAAAAAGCAGTTTTCTCAAAAAGCTTTTCTTATAAAAAGCTGTTTTCTCAAAAAAAAATTTTCTTATAAAAAGCAGTTTTCTCAAAAAGCTTTTCAAATAAAAGTTTTTTTATAACAAACTTTTTTAATTTTTAAACAAATATTTTTTTTTACTTTTACTACAAAAGCTTTTTTCAAAAAAATTTTTTCAGCTAAAAGCTGTTTTCTCAAAAAGCTTTTGTAATAAAAAGCAGTTTTCTCAAAAAGCTTTTCTTATAAAAAGCTGTTTTCTCAAAAAGCTTTTCTAAAAAAGCAGTTTTCTCAAAAAGCTTTTCTTATAAAAAGCTGTTTTTTCAAAAAGCTTTTCTTATAAAAAGCAGTTTTTGCAAAAAGCATTTATTATAAAAAGCAGTTTTCTCAAAAAGCTCTTCTTATAAAAAGCAGTTTTCTCAAAAACTTTTCTAAAAAAGCTGTTTTCTCAAAAAGCTTTTCTTATAAAAAGCAGTTTTCTCAAAAAGCTTTTCTTATAAAAAACAGTTTTCTCAAAAGCTTTTCTAAAAAAGCTGTTTTCTCAAAAAGCTTTTCTAATACATTTTTTTTTTTTTTGCATAAAAACACATTTTTATAAAAATCTCTTTATCAACCAACTTGTAGAATTAACTCAAATAAATTTCTCTCTCTCTGTCTCTCTTCTTTCTAATTTTCCCATAAAAACAGACTACGCATATCAAATGCCCAACTAGCCGATTCGGGGAATTACACCTGTATGCCAACCACTGCGGAGGCAGCCAGTGTAGTGGTTAATGTTTTAAATGGTAAATATAACTATGTTAATAATAACACTTAAAAATTTAATATAAAATTAAAAATAAAAAATAATAATTTTCATAAAACCATATTCATATGTTGGAAAATAAATAAATAAATATAAATTTGTTACATAATCATATAAAATCTGCTTACAAAAGCTGTTATACATGACTAAATTTTATTAATACTATTTTAATTAAAATTTACCTATAAACACTTACACACACATGCAAACTCATATATATTAATCCTACAACAAATGCAATTTTAAATACTGACACTCATTTAACTGTGTTTTTTTTTTTACTAATATTTTCATTTAAACAACAACTTGCCATATAAAACATATTGATTAAAATGTTGCTGCGCTGCTATTATCTCTGCCCTTTCCTGTCATTATTGCTCGGTTATTGTGTGATGATTGTGTGTTAATTAGATGAAAGTCCAGCCGCCATGCAGAAAAGTTCAGCAACAGCGTTATTACAACAACAGAAACAACAACACCCATATTTGAATATATTAACAATAAAATTAATAATTTTAACATTAATATTCATATTAATACAGAAGAATTTACAATTATGGCAAATTAAAAGTTATTATCAACAACAACAGCGACATCAGCAACTACAACGTCATCAGCAACATCATCATCAGCATCATTATCAGCAACAATATTTCCATTTGTGTGCTGCCAATACAACTTCATCATCATTACCTTCTTCATTTTGTTTATCATTATCTTCATGATAGTATTAAATTAAATTAAATTTTGTTAAATATTTATTTCTTTTTTTTCTCAATTTGTTTCAATTTAGTTTTTAAGTTTTAAGAATTTAAACTAGTAAATTATTGTACAAAATAGTAGTTGAAATCTTTTTCTATGAATATCCACTCACACACACACACACTCCAAATGAAATACAAATATTAATTAAAATTTATAATGTTTTTATTAAGGGAAAAAAGGAAATCTTTATAAAATCTATTAGAATTAAGCTTTAGATTAAAATAATCTTAAATATAACAGATTTTTAAATGATATTAAAATTTTATCGAAATAATAATTAAACATTAAGGAAAGGACATCACAAGGACAAATACATATTTATATAAAGTATTTTAGTTTCATTATTTTTCAGTTTAAGTGATTTTGTAAGAAATCCTAACGATTGATTATAACGATTTCTCTTTCTACAAACTGTTATAAACAAATACATATAAATTGGTTTTTTACAAAATTTCTATTATGGAATTTTTTTTATTATATTTTGTTAGTTTATGGCAACAATAATAATTCTCAGAAAATATTTTGCAACACAAAATACCAATTAAAATGCTATTAAACATTATTTAAAGTTATTTTTTTAAAAAAGAATTCACCCTTAATTAAACCTTTTATATCATACAAACATTATTTAATAACTTTGTACTAATTTTTGTAAATATATTTATATTATAAAAGTACTTTTATATAAACAAAATATCACAACATTAACTTAATTATAAATGAAACTGTAAATAGCCATAAATAGATATTTTATTTTAATATGTATAATTTATAAAATATTAATTTTAAATTAAAAATAGCCTCATTGAACCAATTTAAAATTTATAATTTGTTTTTTTACTATTCTCTAATATGCTAAAGCTTTATTTAGTTTTAAAATTATTTTGTTAAACATAAATGATTAATTTCTTATTCTCTTCACCTCAGCTTTAAGAAAACATTAACATTCCTAATAAAATTTTTGTATATAAAAACTATATCCCCATAACATGTAAAATAAGAAACTGCAACATTAAATACTAAATAATATAAAAAACAAAGAATTTATTGAGAAAAAGAAATCTTTTTACTATATATTTAAAGCTTTTTTAGTTATTACCAGAGAAACTAAAAATATGCTCTCAAAAGTTTTTAGGCGCATTAAAAAACTAAAAATATGCTCCAGAAAACTCGATGCCAAATTCTTAAATTAATCTGATACATATAAATATATTATCCACGGGTCCGTACGACACACCATATAATACAAGCATCTGCATATTTTGGTTTCCCTGGTTATTACTTATCAACGTAAACAATTTTTGTTTTCAATAAAAAACGTATCAGAAGTAGATAAATAGATAGATAGATAGATAGATAGATATATATATATATAGATAGATAGATAGATAGATAGATAGATAGATAGATAGATAGATAGATAGATAGATAGATAGATAGATAGATAGATAGATAGATAGATAGATAGATAGATAGATAGATAGATAGATAGATAGATAGATAGATAGATAGATAGATAGATAGATAGATAGATAGATAGATAGATAGATAGATAGATAGATAGATAGATAGATAGATAGATAGATAGATAGATAGATAGATAGATAGATATATAGATAGATAGATATATAAATAGTTAGTTAGTTAGTTAGTTAATTAGGTAGTTAGTAGTTAGTAGTAGTTTGTTAGGTAGTTAGTTAGTTAGGTAGTTAGTTAGTAGTTAGTTAGTAGTTAGTTAGTTAGTTAGTTAGGTAGTTAGTTAGTTAGTAGTTAGTTAGTAGTTAGTAGTTAGTAGTAGTTAGTTAGTTAGTTAGTTAGTTAGTTAGTAGTTAGTTAGTTAGTTGTTAGTTAGTTAGTTAGTTAGTTAGTTAGTAGTTAGTTAGTAGTTAGTTAGTTAGTAGTAGTTAGTTAGTTAGTTAGTTAGTTAGTTAATTAGTTAATTAGTTAATTAGTTAGTAGTTAGTTAGTTAGTTAGTTAGTTAGTTAGTTAGTCAGTTAGTTAGTTAGTTAGTTAGTAGTTAGTAGTTAGTTAGTTAGTTAGTTAGTTAGTTAGTTAGTTAGTTAGTTAGTAGTTAGTTAGTTTTAGTAGTTAGTAGTTAGTTAGTAGTTAGTTAGTAGTTAGTTAGTTAGTTAGTTAGTTAGTTAGTTAGTTAGTTAGTTAGTTAGTTAGTTAGTTAGTTAGTTAGTTAGTTAGTTAGTTAGTTAGTTAGTTAGTTAGTTAGTTAGTTAGTTAGTTAGTTAGTTAGTTAGTTAGTTAGTTAGTTAGTTAGTTAGTTAGTTAGTAGTTAGTTAGTAGTTAGTTAGTTAGTTAGTTAGTTAGTTAGTTAGTTAGTTAGTAGTTAGTTAGTTAGTTAGTTAGTTAGTTAGTTAGTTAGTTAGTTAGTTAGTTAGTTAGTTAGTTAGTTAGTTAGTTAGTTAGTTAGTTAGTAGTTAGTTAGTTAGTTAGTTAGTTAGTTAGTTAGTTAGTAGTTAGTTAGTTAGTTAGTTAGTTAGTTAGTTAGTTAGTTAGTAGTTAGTTAGTTAGTTAGTTAGTTAGTTAGTTAGTTAGTTAGTTAGTTAGTTAGTTAGTTAGTTAGTTAGTTAGTTAGTTAGTTAGTTAGTTAGTTAGTTAGTTAGTTAGTTAGTTAGTTAGTTAGTTAGTTAGTTAGTTAGTTAGTTAGTGATTTAGTGATTGAAGAACTTTTAGTCGAAAACATCACCATACATTATCAAACCATACAGTGGCATAGAAATAAAAAAGAGAGACATAATTCTGCAACTCCAATGAATTTGATCTTCATAGGCCCTCCAGCGGCGTACACAGATGTCACCAAATTAGACACCTCGGATACGTTAATTGAAAAGTATATTTAATTTCCCATCTATTAATATATAAAACGTCTACCTTGTTCTTTTCTCAAGACAAATTAAAAGGACATATTTAACATCTCATTGGGAAAATTGGGAAAGCAAAAATTAGGTAATACGTATACGTCACGAATCCAACACAATGATGAAAAGAAACCAGAAAAGTTAGATATTTCCTCCTTAATTTTATAAGTGAAAATGACAAATTAGATGTATTATATATCAATGGATAGGAAATTAAGTTTACCATGAGGTCCAAATTCAAAACAAAATTCTTCAACACTTCCTATTTACTTATGTGTGTGGAATTTCATGTGGAATTAGAGAAAAAATAGAGAAAAATCGTTTTTTATTTAGTATTAGATTTAAATTTATTTATTGAACTTTATTTTCATTTAGTCACATTTAAACTTCCTATGGAAGTTATCATAACCTAAGATCCCTTGGAATGAACGTTGCACTACTACTATGGACAAATTTTGTACATAGTTTTTTCCTTATCAAGAGATCATAATGTTGTTGATGACTTTTTCCTTTGGCGTGATTTTTTTTTTTCGTATTCTTTATTAAGTATTTGCTGTGTGTCTCTGAAAGCGTATTATGGTGGTAGTATTGTTTGGTACTTGAATTGAGTGGCATGCAATTAATTTTGACTGCACAATATGTTGGTTGTTTTCCTACGTATGTAACCTGCAGTTCCGTGTGACTGTAGTACATGAGTGATTTTACTAAGTTCAAAATTAGCTATCTGTTGAACTATGTTAACATGTATTTGTTCGATTACAAAGTAGATATTTGAAGAAAAACTTAAGAGAATATCGTGACTTTATGTACAACTACTGGGTATTGCAAACCTACACATATACACAATTACTCACCATACTCATTCGTTCTAGTACAAATTCCTTGATTGTGTCTATTTCCGTTCAATTTCAAGTGCAATTTTTCCTTTTCAACAGAGAAACATTAGATACAGTTGGACATTCTATAGTAGTTTTTCAAATGTGGACTACAAAATAAAGTACTTAAGTAATTAGAAGGAAAAGAATTCTTTAAACAAAGATGAAATCAGAAAATTGTGTCTTGTTCCTTATTATTAGTGAAAGCGTTGACCATTGTTACAATAAAATGAAATTCTCTTTGAAATATTAAAAATTATCCCTTTAAAAGCTTTATTTTGGAAAATACGTTACAACAATACAATGGTCGATAAAAAACGCTGTTAAAGAAGATCTTCAAAGAATTGACGTCTTTATGCATAGATTTGGTAGACATCTATCCGATAAGATAGTTCATAGATCAATCTATAGACTAATGCATAGACCTATGGATCTGTCTATTGGTTAAGGCGTGGAGCAGTACATATGATAGACAATATTTAGTCCATAAAGAACCCTTCACAGATTTAATCAGTTGTCATCTCCCTTAGTATTTCATCATTTTGAACCAACACTAACATTTTCTAAATATACATTATAATTACATATCTTATTTTTAATATACACAATCATCATTAGTAATAAAATGATTACAAATATGAATCGTCTTAGTAATAAGAATTTATTTAAAATTAAACATCGAGATCAGTATCTAGAGGTGAAGTACATACATATGTACATATTTAGCATTTCTGAATGCTAGTTTCTTCCAAATCGATATTGGTCTGTAATATAAAATAATTAATATGATAACATTTCAAATAAATTATTTTCATACCTCATTCTCATAGTATTCATCACAATCATCATCTTCCTCATAATCAATATCATCTTTTTTCTGGCATATTTTGATAACACACCAAATAATCAGTACTGTTATCACCAGAGCAATAGCGCCAATCCGATAAATATTTGACATAACCAAATTTGCAGTGACGACATTTTGTATTGGTTTCTTAACTTCATTGCCGGTATTACAAGCATCCGTTTCGCAGGTTTCACAATTATATTTTGACGAATCACATTTAAAATTTTCGGTTACACACTTTCTAATAAGAGAAATATCGGTGGCTTAAAGGAAAAATAACTTAATTTGCGATTTTAATGTGTTTTGAAAAATGTTAACATACTTTTCTCCACCAGTAGGGCACATTTAGTTTCATTACGTCCACATTCTTTTAATAATATATCTTGATACTTTTCAGGTTTTAAACAACGGGCTGTTTCAAAATTTTCACAAATATAACATTCTAGACTAAAAACTGCAATAAATTTGAATATTAAGTTTTAAGTTTCTGTTATTTTGTGTTTAAGTATTTTTACCTTCAGCAATTGCAATTATAAGTATTAATAATTTAATCATTTTGTTTTTGTTCTTATTTTATTCCGCACAAGCTCCTATCTCAGCAAAGTTTATAAAATCAACTGATAGTTATGATATCAATAATATATTCATAAAAAAATACTCATTTTTTAAGATCATTTCAAATAGAATATTCTATAAAGGCTATTTTTGTTCTATTATCAGCTTCTTTTGTTAAGAATGTCGTACACCCTGCACCTTTAATATATGTAACATTATTTAATTGTATGACATGTAACACTTTTTAGTTTCTTAAAGTTCACACAATTAGTAAAATGTTAAATATTCTTAACTAAATGGGAATTATGTTTATGCTTTATCACGGCTTAGCTCATAACTTGTCTTCGATATTTCGTTGTTCAAACTAGTCCAAGACTACTTTTAATTTCATTCGGTCTTTTAAATACTCTACATACATATATCACTCTTACAATAATGCAAAGTTCGACCACAAATGACTCTTTAAAAATTTTTTTAATAAAAAACCGTGATAATAATTTATACAAAGAATACAGAACTTGCGGTTTGGTCGAAGATTATTTAAGATATTTTTTTAAAAGAGAAATACATTCATTCAATACTTTAAATTTAATCATTTAATAATTTTATAAAAATTATGTATTTAGTGTAAAATTGCGTTTTTTTTTGTCTTGAGGGGAAATTATTTTTAAAATGTGGTGATGCAGTGTTTTTATAATTTATAAGGCTAAATGTTATTTACAATTTGATCGGTAATGCTTAGATTATGTTGTTTCAAATAAAATGATTGTACGTTCTCCATCCGTAATAATTTTTTAATGGGCAAGAAATGTTAATAATATGTATGTTCCCAGGTAATTTTCGAAAGATATTTCACTAATACATCTCAAACGATTCTTCTACCAAAGTTTTTAAAAGCTTAGCATACACTCTTGTAAAACGGGGAGTCATTTCTAGTTATTCTACAGTTTTTTTTTTTCGTCTGCTTAGGTATTATGATTGATATGTCCAATCAAACATTTCAAACGTCTTTAACGAATTTCTTATTAATGTCTTTTTGACTTCATTACGTTCGGTGGCGTGTCATAGTGTCCATGGACGTTATGACAATTACAAAAGTGTCACAATGTCCATGAAGAATGTGGCATAAAGTCCATGGATTTCAAAGAGTCCATTTATCAAGAAAGGCTTAATGTAGCAAAGCCTGTGTTCGAAATACCCCAGAGTTTAAAATGTCCGTGGTCATTATGCATTGACATTTATAGTTAGTTAGTTAGTTAGTTAGTTAGTTAGTAGTTAGTTAGTTAGTTAGTTAGTTAGTTAGTAGTTAGTTAGTTAGTTAGTTAGTTAGTTAGTTAGTTAGTTAGTTAGTTAGTTAGTTAGTTAGTTAGTTAGTTAGTTAGTTAGTTAGTTAGTTAGTTAGTTAGTTAGTTAGTTAGTTAGTTAGTTAGTTAGTTTAGTTAGTTAGTTAGTTAGTTAGTTAGTAGTTAGTTAGTTAGTTAGTTAGTTAGTTAGTTAGTTAGTTAGTTAGTTAGTAGTTAGTTAGTTAGTTAGTTAGTTAGTTAGTTAGTTAGTAGTTAGTTAGTTAGTTAGTTAGTAGTTAGTTAGTTAGTTAGTTAGTTAGTAGTTAGTAGTTAGTAGTTAGTTAGTTAGTTAGTTAGTTAGTTAGTTAGTTAGTTAGTTAGTTAGTTAGTTAGTAGTTAGTTAGTTAGTTAGTTAGTTAGTTAGTTAGTTAGTTAGTTAGTTAGTTAGTTAGTTAGTTAGTTAGTTAGTTAGTTAGTTAGTAGTTAGTTAGTTAGTTAGTTAGTTAGTTAGTTAGTTAGTTAGTAGTTAGTTAGTTAGTTAGTTAGTTAGTTAGTTAGTTAGTAGTTAGTTAGTTAGTTAGTTAGTTAGTTAGTTAGTTAGTTAGTTAGTTAGTTAGTTAGTTAGTTAGTTAGTTAGTTAGTTAGTTAGTTAGTAGTTAGTTAGTTAGTTAGTTAGTTAGTTAGTTAGTTAGTTAGTTAGTTAGTTAGTTAGTTAGTTAGTTAGTTAGTTAGTAGTTAGTTAGTTAGTTAGTTAGTTAGTTAGTTAGTTAGTTAGTTAGTTAGTAGTTAGTTAGTTAGTTAGTTAGTTAGTTAGTTAGTTAGTTAGTTAGTTAGTTAGTTAGTTAGTTAGTTAGTTAGTTAGTTAGTTAGTTAGTTAGTTAGTTAGTTAGTTAGTAGTTAGTTAGTTAGTTAGTTAGTTAGTTAGTTAGTTAGTTAGTTAGTTAGTTAGTTAGTTAGTTAGTTAGTTAGTTAGTTAGTTAGTTAGTTAGTTAGTTAGTTAGTTAGTTAGTTAGTTAGTTAGTAGTAGTTAGTTAGTTAGTTAGTTAGTTAGTTAGTTAGTTAGTTAGTTAGTTAGTTAGTTAGTTAGTTAGTAGTTAGTTAGTTAGTTAGTTAGTTAGTTAGTTAGTTAGTTAGTTAGTTAGTTAGTTAGTTAGTTAGTTAGTTAGTTAGTAGTTAGTTAGTTAGTTAGTTAGTTAGTTAGTTAGTTAGTTAGTTAGTTAGTTAGTTAGTTAGTTAGTTAGTTAGTTAGTAGTTAGTTAGTTAGTAGTAGTTAGTTAGTTAGTTAGTAGTTAGTTAGTTAGTTAGTAGTTAGTTAGTTAGTTAGTTAGTGTTCTTTAGAGATAAAACTTAATTCGGCTGTTAAGTTTATTGGAAATCGGAACATGTTTTACCCTAGCCCCCATATAAAAACCCCTTCAGAATTGTCTAATTGCAATTCGGACTGAATAAATTCTATATGGACCTAAATCACCTTATATTTATATGGGAACTAGGACATTTCCTTCATAACATTTGCTTGTAGTCAATAAATCACTGGTGTAATGATTGAGATTAAACTGTAATTAAAATAGTTTAATTTCTGTAGATTACTTTCAGTCCATAATTGAGTAATACCCCTTTTCTCAAAATCAATCTAAGGCTTTTACATCTCAAATTAGTGTTGTTATTAAATTCGCCAAAAAGTTTAATAAAAATATTGACTAATATACCAAATTCTGGTAGGGTTTGACTATTTTGTACTTAGCGCTAGGTCCTATATATGGGCTAGGACCTGATGGGTATCATATAATCGACCATGCCATATCACAGCAAATTTTTTATATTGACACTGAACCACCATACCATATGGTAGTTTACAAGCGATTATAATTTCCTATTTATTTTTATATATTTCTTTAGCAATCAGTAACCACAGTATGCCATTTATTCAGGGGCCTATGAATCAGATTTTGTAATATAAATACAGATTTCTATATGATTCCAAGTGATTTAAACATTGTAATTGATAGAAAAAATAATTTATATTTAAATATATCTTAAACATACATACATATTTTAAATACTACATTCGAAATTTTTAACATAAAACTAAATTACACTCTCGATAGAAAAGTGACTATAACGAATACCAAAAATGTAAAGAACATGACACCATGTATTGAAAGTGTTAAACGATTACTATTGTTGCACAAGTTTCCTTTGCATTTATAACACTGGGCCTCATCGTATTGACGAGTTCTGGCGATGCCATCACAACCAAAATCCGTGTATAAGGAACTTATATCATCATAATAACACTCATAAAATGTGGCATTACGTCCATTAGCTAAAGAGAAACATAATTTTTTCAGAATTTTTTTGTAACTTTGTGAAATTACAAGATTTTTGCTTACATTTTTTCACAAATTGTTTTACACAACCAGTGGCGTCCGGTTTACATTCTTTAATAAAAGATATATTCTTCAATACCAATGTGCTATTTTTACAGTCGTCATCCTCTAAAGTGCTACATTGATAGCATTTCAATATGTTTTTACTAAACAGAGATGTAGCGTCTGAAATATCTATGGCATCTGAAAGAAACGTAAGAATAAATATTAGTTAAACTGTAGTGGATTTTTGTCGATAATTATTTAAGAATTTACTTGTATATTCAAAGAATGTATATGACCAAATAATAAAAATTAATACTTTAAGCTTGAGTAGCATTTTAATCCTATTTTTGTTGATTGTATTATTTGAACGTTCAATCCGTTTGAAATTTCTTATTAAACTAATAAGTTTTTGTGTAAGTAATTTTTATTTATTTCTATAATGATCGTTCGTTCTTTAGCCACAATATGTGAATCATTTTTTTTTTTTGTAGCGTAGTTTTATAAATATTTTTAATATACAATTGTTTATTTAAAGATTTATAGGTAATAACAATATTTATAGTAAAATATCTAGAAAGAATTTGAGTAAATTTAAAATTAACTATATGATCAATCAGAAATAGAATAGATTAAAAACGAATTGTAATTTTAAAAAGTTTCTGTATTTTATATACTTTATAATGTCAATCAAATGTTTCAGTCACTCGAATAACCAATTCGATTATCAAAACGAATCTGTTTTCTCTGTTTGAGATTAGATTAGTTTTAAATAGGAACACTCAAGATTGCGTGAGCTTACAAATAGCGGATCCATAGTGAATCCCCAGAGGGAGGCGTTTTTTAATGCCCTCACCTTAAATATTATATCATATACCGCCCTGAACGCATCTATTCAAATAGTCTTATAAGTTTAAATTTTTCTTAATTCTTCAAGATTCTGTAAAAATAAGATTCAAACTTTTGAAAGGAGAGTATGATCAATGCAAGGTATTAAAAGTGAAAAGTTTGATCCTTGTTGCAACGTAAACAAGTGTTATTATTAGGAAATTCTTAGGAAATAGGTACAGGAACCAGAATATGGAGCACTATATAAGGTTTTCCCATCCACATTTTGCCACGTAAAGGAACGCGCAATGAATTTCTATACAGAGGAAAAAATATACACGCCTGGTACCAAATTGACACCAAATTTTTCAATAACATCCGTTGTCAAGTATATATATATACAGCAACAACAACATGTCATGTTCGTTGTCGCAATCTAAACTTTATGCACATCCGTTATCTAAATGTTAACAAACGTGATAAGCTCACTGTTTACAACGCATTTTGAAAGCAACGAATTGTTGCAATATTGACAAAGTTGCGTGGTCTACATTACTTGTTGTTGTTGTATGTATGTATATACTTGACAACGGATGTTATTGAAAAATTTGGTGTCAATTTGGTACCAGGCGTGTATATTTTGTTTTCCTCTGTGTACTACTTAAAGCGACCAAATCGCCGAATCAACGCCACAGCTTTATTATCAAACCAGAGCTTCATAGGGCATGTTTAAAGCGAGCATTAGAGAAAGAACCTAATCGATTCTTATGGCTTGATTTAATATTTACCCATTACATGGTAATGACTAGTACTTACTCAACAATTTACTTTTCAATTACTACTACATATCATCAGCATTACTTATAAGTACTTACATTTTTAGCCTTGACATAGATTTCGAATTAAAACTAATTATCTGACACTCCATTTGCAGGCGAATGTAGTAAGTACTTATCTAACTACCTATTTGTAAGCGGATGTGGTAAGTACATAGCTCCAATAAACAATTTTCAATGTTTTTGATGAATATATAAAGTCAGAAGCCCAGACATTGATCATATTTATATTGTAACCTGATAGCTTTAAACTTGTTGAAAATTTTATCAAAAATTTCTTTTTAATAACAACTTCATACCATCTGCATTACTTTTAAGTAGTCTGGTAATGACATAAATATAAATGACAGGTTCCACTATTTTTATGTAAAACAAAACAACTTATTTAACTACCTATTAGTAATGACTTATTTAAGTCCTTATATGTAAGCGAGCATAAGTATTATCTCTTCTTTATTTTTTTTAAACACAATCAAGTTTAAGTTATATACTTAACATATTAGAAATAAACAACATCATTGATATATAACAAATTATTAAAGGTTTTGAAATTGTCAGCCGGTTGTTATTGTTGCAAAAGTCACCTTTACATTTGAAACACTGGACCTCATCGTATTGACGATTTCGGCTAATGCCTTCACATACAAAATTCGTATAAAAAGAACTAATAGTTCCGTAATAACACTCACGAAATGTAGCATGTTTTCCATCATCTAATTAGAAGAAAAGGAAAATACTTAATACTATTTCTATTTCTGAAATACTATTTCATATACTTATTTAACTTACATCTTATTACAAACTGTTTAACACAGCCCTGGGCTCCCGCTGCACATTCCTCTATAAATTCGGATTTTTGCATGACATTTGTTTCATTCTTACAATCATCATCTAAAAGACTGCTGCATTTGTAGCATTTCAAATTTTTAGAAGTAAATAACGAAGTAGTTGTTGTTATATCTAGGGCAACTTTAAGTAAAATATAGAATTAAAAATTATTTCTTTTTAATAGCAAAAATAGGCAAATTTACTGGAATTTTGTATGTAAAAAGTAAATACTATGAAGTATATAAGCATTTTAAATCTGTCTAGCATTTTCTTGGGGTTTTTGTTTGAAACTTCGATGACCACTAACTATATAGTTTTCAACGATTAATAAGCTGGTAATTTCTCAACAATACATTTTTTATAATCTATTTCTTGAATCAATATTAACAGCATATGATTCACATTATACGGCTGCACATTGAGCTAGAAGGTTAAAAAATATGGAAATTATCTGTGGTTTCTTTTGAAATCTCTTGGTTACTTACCTGGGTGCTTCGCTTCCCTCTCTCATAAATTTATTATAATAAAACTCTCTATGGTTCTGTTTAGATTTTCTTTTACTCATATACATATATCGAGGGACTATATATATAAAATTCTAACGTTACTGACTGACTGACTGATTCATCATCGAACAGCCTAAACGGTTGAAGCTAAAAAGCTGAAATTTTGACAGGAGATTGGGATTTTTAGAAATTCGAATGTTTAAGGGCTAAAAACGGGTAAATTCGGTAGCCTCATTACTCTTAAACTAGAAAATATACAAAAACAGTTTAAAGCTTATTGTCGTTCATTTAAAAAGTAAGCGGGCAGGTGTCTGGTACTTTTTTCAAATTCAGCCCCTTTAGGGAATAAACGGGTAAAATCTGTATTTTGGTACTTTTTTTTGCAACCCATGTATCTTTTAAACCAGTGAACATACAAAAGATATTTTTGACACCTTCATAACTTAACGAAAAAATAAAAATATGAATTTAGTACTTTTTGGATATTGAAAATTGTACATTTTTTTGGGTACTTTTTGCATAAAACATTGTTTCCTATGTACTGATTTGTACATGTGAATGAATACTTAATGATGGTCTCCCACTATGATATTGCAAGTTTTCGGAATAAAATGTTTATTATTTCAATAGGGAGAAAAAAGTACCAAAAGGATTGAAAGGAGAGTATGATCATGCAATGCATTGACAGAGAAAGTGAAAAGTATGATCCTTGTTGCAACATCTTCAAGTGTAAACATTATTGGAAAATTCTTAGGAAATACATTCAAGAACTAGAATATGGAGCAATATATAAGGTTTTCTCATCCACATTTTTTCACGTCAAGGAACGCGCAATGAATTTCTACACAGAGGGAAAAAAATATACACGCCTGGTACTAAATTGACACAAAATTTTTCAATAACATCCGTTGTCAAGTATATACATACATACAACCAAATTAACACCGAAGCATGTAATGTAGACCACGCAACTTTGTCTACATTGCAACAATTCGTTGTCGCAATTTAAACTTTATGCACATCCGTTGTCTAAATGTTAACCCAAGTGGTAAGCCCACTGTTTACAACGCATTTTGAACACAACGAATTGTTGCAATGTTGACAAAGTTGCGTGGTCTACATTACATGCTGTTGTTGTATGTATGTATGTACTTGACAATGGATGTTATTGAAAAATTTGGTGTTAATTTGGTACCAGACGTGTATATTTATTTTTCCCTCTGTGTAGAAACAAGAAATAAAGCATCTAGAGCCCGGAGTAAATGAGAATCTATAAAAGGGGACTTTTTTGTCCTTCGACTGGTACGTTTTTAGTTTTATTATTAAATTGGACTTATTGATACTTTATCATACTTCGACTGGTACTTTTATGAATTTTCTATAATATTGAACCTAAAAACATGAAATTAAACACGTGGAGCCCGGAGTAAAAGGGCCCATACATAACACCAGCATGCTGGCACAATAATTTGATTAAGCTTTCATGTTCGGACCATATATTACACCAGCATGCTTGTACAATATTAATTTTTTAGAAATTTTGTGTGGTAAAGGTCGTTGCGAATAATACAAATATTTGCAAAGAACTGACCTATTTTCTTTATCGAATGCGTGAAACCGATCCGTAGGCATATAACAATTATTCCCAAAACATTTTTTAGATTTCATAGACAAACTATGATTATTGCCCAAAAAATTGTATTTGAATGAGCAAATTTCCCCATACACAGTTCAAGCACGCTGGTACAATCACAAAAATATCAAATTAATTTTGATATCACACAATCAGATGGCACAATCGTACCACAACCCCATACACAATCAATCATTTGATTGTGCCAGCATGCTGGTGTTGTGTATGGGCCCCTTAAGTGGGAACATATAAAAGGGGACATTTTTGTACTTTTTCGTTCTTCAAAATGTACTTTTTATATTCTCTATAATATTGAACCTAGAAGCATGTAATTAAGCATGTAGAGCCCTTATTAAGTTAGAACATTTAAAAGGGGACTTTTTGGTACTTTTTCGTTCTTCAAACGGTACTTTCTGATTTTTTTTGTACAATATTGATCTTAATAACATGAAATCTCTAAAAGCGGACTTTTTGATATTGCAGATATACGATCAGGTTAGCGAAGCACACTGGGTATAGCTAGTATTTAAAAGCATCTATCTCAAATATTTCACAGGTTTGAAAGATACATGAGGTTCAAAAAATGTGTCAAAATGCTCCTTTTACCAGCTTACTCCTACTCTGCTTATTTTTAGAATAAACCTCTATAAGTATAACATTTACATTGTATCTGTGAATTATCATTCTAATTCTGAAAAAATCTATCTTTTTGTTATATTGACATACAATGTATGCATTTATTTTGAGTTATATATGTACATAACAATAACAATTGAAATGCTTCTATAATTAAGCCTTAAAAAGCCCAAAAGCATGCCAATGATGTAATGTATGTAATGTCTCAAACAAGCAATCATTACATATCATTACATAAACAATAATACAACAAAAACTGCACCAACAAACTAAATGCAATAAAAAACTTTGAATTAGATATATTTTTCGATCCTTTACACGACCAATAACTCCAATTGCAGCCCTCTTGACGGCAAGAACAACAATTCATATCGCCTGTACGATAACGAGCACAAAAAGCGCTATCTGAACAGCCACGTTCGTAGTATTTCGTTCTATTCCAAACTAAAGTGCAGAAATTGTGTTCAGGTCTGCACAATTGCAGATATCTATCAGTTCCAACCGGTTTGTCACACAAATAATCATCTGATTTACATCGGTGGCAATGAAGACCGTGCACTAATATTAAAGCGTTTAAATTTTATTATTTATATTCGATTTTCAAATTTAAACAGATTTAAAATGCTTACCACCAGTTAGTAGAGTGCAAATTAAAATTATTGAATAAAATATCGGCATTACAAAGGCGTTTGGATTTTAATAGAAATAATTTGACATTGAAGGAAAATTAAATTTATTGAACGCAAACTATAAATACATGTTATTTATGAAATAGAATGCACGGAACACAGGTGTACTCAAATATTATCTATATTTGTAAGTTAGTTAGTTAGTTAGGTTAGTTAGTTAGTTAGTTAGTTAGTTAGTTAGTTAGTTAGTTAGTTAGTAGTTAGTTAGTTAGTAGTTAGTTAGTAGTTAGTTAGTTAGTTAGTTAGTTAGTTAGTTAGTTAGTAGTTAGTTAGTTAGTAGTTAGTTAGTTAGTTAGTTAGTTAGTTAGTTAGTTAGTTAGTTAGTTAGTTAGTTAGTTAGTTAGTTAGTTAGTTAGTTAGTTAGTTAGTTAGTTAGTTAGTTAGTTAGTTAGTTAGTTAGGTAGTTAGTTAGTTAGTAGTTAGTTAGTTAGTTAGTTAGTTAGTTAGTTAGTTAGTTAGTTAGTTAGTAGTTAGTTAGTTAGTTAGTTAGTTAGTAGTTAGTTAGTTAGTTAGTTAGTTAGTTAGTTAGTTAGTAGTTAGTTAGTTAGTAGTTAGTTAGTTAGTTAGTTAGTTAGTTAGTTAGTTAGTTAGTTAGTTAGTTAGTTAGTAGTTAGTTAGTTAGTTAGTTAGTTAGTTAGTTAGTTAGTTAGTTAGTTAGTTAGTTAGTTAGTTAGTTCCGTGCTTTCATTGCGAACAGACCTGTTTTTAACGCCGCTCTAACATATAACATAACATATTGTTGTAAAAAAGTGCTTCAAGTGGAATTGAGAAATAATTAAACAAACCTGCTGATATTTTAAATAATTTGCCCCAAATTGATAAATAAAAAAGGAATAAATATCTACATTGTGCTATTAAAAAAGCAAAATAAATAACAAACAATAAAACAATCCAAAAATAATTGCAAAACTAAGAAAAAATATAAAGAATAAAAGTAAAAGCATAATATAAAAAATGAGTTTGTGCTCTCAGTGTAACAAAGAGTTGTCGACAAAGTTTGTCAAGTGTTACGGGTGTAACTCTCTTTATCACTTCTCTCCCTGCTGCTCCCTGTCTGAGAAAACCCACGCGACCATGGCTATTGATAGAAGAGCCGATTGGAGATGTCATAGATGTAAGACAAGAAAAGCATCCACCAACAGCAACAATGGTTATCTTACAATAATCGATAATAGTATTCAACCAGCAACAAAACAACAAAGAGATGATGATGAAGTGTACGAAAATGATGACCCAAAACGCTTTAAAGACTCCCTCTCTCTAAGCGATGTAAACAAAAGTATTTCTCTTGTAAAAGACGATGTATCATCTCTTAAAGATGACGTTACAGCCATGAAAACTAATACAATTGATATAAAAGCAATTATGGAAAAGCTAGCAGTATCAGTGAACCAAAACAATCAAATAAACGAAAATATTCAAACCGCTGTCAACGCAATAACAAACACCCTTACCACTCTTACCTCTCAAGTAAGCGACCTTACATCTCAAGTAAGTGCTCTTGGCGAAAGCAACAAAGAAAAAGAAAAAGAAATGCAATTGATGAAAACACAGATTAACGATTTGCAACAACAACTTATAAATAAGAGTATCGAAATTAAAAATTTTCCCAATGAGAACATTCTCCCAAACGATGCCGTAAAAACGATCGCAACATCTCTTAACGTTGAACTAAACGACTTCGATATAAGCAATTCCTATCACATTAAAAAATCAAAAAAAATAATTATAGAGTTTACTACACTTAATAAAAAGAAGGAACTGATGGGTAAAATTAAACGTCATAGGATAGAGTCTAAAGTAATAACAAGAGATGAAAACGATAAAAACTTCATATATATTAATGATCAATTAA